GCCGGGGAGCCGCAGGTTGCTGGCCACGGGCCTAGGGCCTAGGGCAGTGATGGCAAACCTTTTGAGCTTGGCTTGTCAGCATTTTGAAAAACCCTAACTTAACTCTGGTCCCGTGTCACATACAGAAATTTTTTGATATTTGCAACCATAGTAAAACAAAGACATATTTTTGATATTTATTTTATATATTTAAATGCCATTTAACAAAGAAAAATCAACCAAAAATAATGAGTTCGCGTGTCATAGGTTCGCCATCACTGACCTAGGATCACAGTCTAAGAAAATGTTTTAAGCAGTTGGCTTGCCTCACTGATTTCAGGAAGGTCATTCTAGTGACTGAGAGTAAAAGTTTGTAAAGAGCTACAAACTTTTCTTAGGTTTGCACCCAGGACCTTCTCCACTGTGGGGGGCTGCATCTTCTGGGTCTGCCATTTGAAACCCCAGCAGACCAGGGGCCTCTGCTTCCCTACCTAGTTCTGTCTTACAAAAGGACGAGTTTACTGGGAGAGTTGTTGGGGCGCAGGACACTGAACTTGGGAATGGTGAAGCAATCGGCAAAGGGGCTCCTATTCTGTCAGTGCCTCTCTCTTCATCCTGAATCTGTCTGGAAGACAAACTTGTTCAGCTCTGAAGCCCAGGAGAAGTCTCCTGTCTTTGCCAAATAGGTCTGTACTTTAAGAGACCTTGTATGATGGGACAACGAAAGAAGGGCCAAGTCCCTTCACCGTGTTTCCCTCCCCTCGCGATCTTCCTCTCCCTTTCAAGAACCTGGCAAGCTTGCTTACCCTGCTTGCCCAGCGAAGGAGGCGATATGGAGAGATTTGAAAGAGGCACAAGGAAACTTTTGGGTTGTGATAGATATGTTCATTATTTTGATTGTAAGAATGGTTACATAGGTATACACATAGGTAAAACCTCATCAAATTGTATGCTTTAAATGTGTGGTTTATGTCAAATAGACCTCCCTAATTGTTTAAAAAATGAGTGCATCATAATTCACCTTATACACACAACCCATAATCTTTCCGTATTGTCTTGTATTAAACTTTTGCTTCACATAACTCGAACCATAACCAAAGCACCACCTAAAAATGCGTAAATATTGTCCATTTCGGGTTCCCTGTCTTCCAGTAGCACCACAGCACAAGGGCATCGCTAGCTGCCTCGGTGTGGCTGTTTCAGTATCCAAGGGCGCCGGGCACCAGGAGACAGGCTTCTGACTGCACTCACGCGAGGGTGCCCCCCTAAGCACTCGCTGCTCAGCGTGCCCGTCTCCCCTGGCCTGTGAAAGGTGGTTACTGTAACGCGAGCCGTTCGCGCACGGGCGCATGTCACAGGACAAGCGATGCCGCACTACTGCCAGAGCGACCCCACGTCTGCACGTCCGCCAGGGAAACCCTGCTGTAGGGAGAGGGACGAAGGGAGACAAAAGCCGGGAGACAAAAGCCGGAGCCGGAAAGTTCTGGGAATAAGTTTAGAAAACACTTCTGGTTCCGGCCCTAAGTCCCACTTCCGTCCGGGGCACATGCGCGCGGCAGTGTTCCCTGCTTTCCTGTCCGGCGGGGCCCCAGACCCCGCACTTTCCGTTCGGCCCGCAGGCCGTTCGCTCCGGCTCCGGAAGCCCCTTCCGCTCGTGCCCTGAGCCGCTGCCGGGCCGTGTCCTCCAGTACGGTCTCTCCCTGTGCCGTTTCTCCGTGGGCGGTACCGTCTCTCCCTGGGCCGCCTGTGGGGCCAGTGGGGTGCGGTCTGCAGTTCCTCTCCTGGAGTTTGAAGGGGCGCGGGGAAGCCACGCGGGCCGCCTTTTCCTTGCTCCCCCAGAGCTGCCTTTGGATCCCGAAGGCCCAGTCCCCAGCGCTAAGAGACCAGCGCTAAGAAGACTGGTCTCAGGCCTAAGGGCACGTTCCGCGCTCTCAGCGCCCCGGGGGAAAGAGGGAGAGGGGTGGGAGAGAACCCGGTGTTTCCCGACTTGGTTTAGTCGCGAGCTGGGAAACGAACACCAACCTCTTTCC